GTTAAGCACAAAATGACACAGAAAAAAAAGCACTTTGGTATTCATATTTTTTAATGTTGAAATTCGACGTCACGAATCCAGTGCGAAGCGCCCTCACCAGGGGGTCGTAGCTCAAATGGTAGAGCGCCCGCTTAGCATGCGGGAGGTAGGGGGATCGATGCCCTCCGACTCCATTTTGCACACCTCAGCCATGGATGGTTCTGTGTTCGCTGCCTTCCTTATTACACTTCCCAACTGTTTAATATTAGCAGCGTTCAGCCCTCATCCTCAGCGTCATATGTGGGATCGATGGCTCCCACCATCAGCTTCAACAGCCACGCCTCCACAGAAAGCGTCACTCCCTTGCGTGCATACTGTGGATGGGCGGGGGCAACGCGAACAGTTCACGTGTCAGTAGGACAGACGATAGCAACTTGATAGCAACTTCATGTTCAACGCAGTGGCACTTGATCTCAACGCTTGTCGCAGGGCATCCACCTGCCAGCTGGTGCACCTGATGCCGCTCGCACCACTGCCGTGCCCCACCATTTTGATCAAGGGCAAATCACAGCCCTTGCCTCCTACCTCCTCAGCCTCCTGCTCAAAGTAGCTCGTGCAATCAATTATGTCACCAACAGTCGGGTCCTTGTCCAGCTTTCCCAGAAAGGCTTGGGCACGCGCATCGCGGCCAACCTGGACACAGGGGGCGGCGGTGCTGCAGCTCAGGAGCGCGCACATTTCTTGTTTCAGGGGCTGCTTCCAGGGTCCATGCACAACACGTGCAGGGTATTGTGGCGATGGCAACGCATTCGGACGGCCCGATGGACCAACAGAAACTCGTTCGTTGAGGGGGCTGCAGCGCTGCTATAACCCCACCTGTGCAAACTGGAAGGCCACAGGCTTGGGGCCATACTGCGGGGCCAGCCGGGCGCGCGCATCACGAATAACCTAGCGGGAGCAGTGAGGAATGGGCAGGCCAGGGTGGGGGGAGGCCAGGGCGATCAGGTCAGGGCATTCAGGCATTTGGGAATGCAGGGAGCAGCCTCAAAGTGCCCCCGCCCACAACTACAAGGCATGCCTCCGCTCGCGACCATTGCACGGGCTGGCACAGGGTGTGCTTGCAGTACTGTTTGGCGCCCGAGTCTGAATTCAACGCGCCACATACAGCCTCGGCTTCTCGTGCCACCAGCGCTCCAGCCACCCCGACCCACCTTGCCTCCCCCAAGCTCAAGCCACGAGCCTCACCTGCAAGATGGCGTCCCTGGGCGTGTCTGTGGGCTCGCCGTCGGTTATGGATATGACCAGCACAGGCTTGGCCAGCTCGCCGCGAGCCGCCAGGGAGAACACCACGGGCTCCAGCACGCGGGACCTCATGCTGGAGGCCAGGGGGGTCGTGCCGCTGAACCGCACCTGCAAAGACGCGGGGCACGCAGTGGGCGCAAGGCTGGGCAATCAGGGAAGATGCAGCGATGCGCCGACCCAAGCGTGATGAGGTACACAGGATGCCGTCACACCGCCGGCCCACACAGCTGCAGCCTCTTTTAGGTGGCTGGTGCCGCGCACAGCACCCCGGCCCTCAAAGGCGGCGCACCATGTAGGCAGCCGGCGACACTGACCACCCACTGCGCCCCGTCTCCGCCACCTCCCTTCCCCGTTCACCTGCCCCAGCAGCGCAGATGCGTCGGCGGCGCTGCGAATGCCGTTGCCCTCCACTGGCGAGTTCATGAAGCGGACCAGGATGCCATCATCATCAAACAGCGTGGCCACCTGGCGATGGGTTAATGGTCGGTTGGTGGGTGGATGGTTGGTTGAGGAGGATACCCCTAGTAGGGGTCGGCCGGCAGCGCGTGCGGTGGGTGCGGTGTGGCACACCGCAGTGCTCCGAGGCATGCAACACGAGAAGTTGGGGGTTCAGCAGGTTGGTGTGTGCAAGGGGGGCAGGAGATACTGGAGGCAACAAAAGGGCTCTGCCGGTTGCACTTGCATTGTGCTTGTCGCTGCATCTGGCGGCGCCTTGCCCTCTCCCTTGCCACCCTAGCGGCCTGTGGTTCCCGCAAAGGTGCCAGCAGCCGAACAAGCGAGGCGTGCCGCCATGAGACTCGCGCGCACCTCTGCCGCGCGGCCCAGGATGACGCGCAGGTCGTCGATGCGCTCCCCACCATCCTGCACAATTGGGAGCGTGCCACACGCATGTGTTCGGGTCGCACGCGCAGTGTTGGTGCAGGGCCAGTGCCAGCATGCAAGTTCATCATCCATTTTGCCATCCGTCCCGGGGAGGGGTGGGGGAGGTGTTATAGGGGGGGGGTGCACCTTTCAAACAAACCACAGGGATCGCCCTGGCGTTTGCGCTCTGACAAAGTCTGGCTGCTGAGCACCCTGTCCTTCAGCCTCCTCAATT